GCTCAGGTTCATTAATTTTTTCAACATTATAATATTGTAGAATCTAACCAAAATGAATTACGAATATTCTGAATTACTGTCATCGTAAGAAATTTAGTAAGCAGAAATCATGCAAAAATTCAGGTATGCGCGATATATTCTTCAAGTGTTGACTCTATCATTTATATAATCCTGGCCTATGAAATAACCTACAAGTCTAATAAAAAATAATCACAAACATCATCTGACCATAACCTTTTCTAATGTTTTGTGTTTAATGTAATGCATTTAAAATGACACAAGCTTATGATAGTTATTACAGTGAATTTAAAAAGAATGCAGAGTTACAACAAAATCTGAAGTATAAAAAAAAGTATCGAAGGTTAAAAAGAATCGTAAAGGATACTGTATTCGTAAGATTGTATTTATTGTAATAATCTCTGTTTTACGAAGATGAATTATTACTTAAAATAGAATACAGAAGAATAAAATGATATATTATAGAATTTATTAATAAACTTATAATTACAGGAAAATGCAGCATTATGTGATCAAGTGGCACAAATGCAAGAAAATCTTATGCTTGTGAAGGAAGAGAGGTTATTTCTCTTACGTAAATTATGTCAACAACAAGGAGACATAGATCCTTCCACTGTGATAGCTCGATCTCAATCAAACAGTATTAATACTAGTTCATTTAATCCAGAATGTTCTACACCTAAAAAAACTGCAAAAAAACGAGTATCAACTGATGGCTCAGGTAATAAAATATTCTAGATTTAATCAGATCAAAATAACTTAATATGTTGTTCCAAGGAATGAAAGGATTGCTTATATAAATATACTAAACAAGTAATTAATAATTCAATAATAACTGATTATACTATGTTTGTAATTATGATTGTCTAATTATTTTGAGTAATTACCTTTTGTCATACAATTTTAAAATTTTTTTAATCTGTTTTAGAAACAAAAAATAAAGCTAAACGTTATAATAAAACAGCTAGGAAAGTAGTCCAATTAATACCATTGGATGTACATGGAAGGCCTATTTTTCCTATTGCTTTGGGTGATCTCACTGTTTATTCCCTTGGTGAGGTAGTATCTGACAGAATTGCTTATCATACAGAAGATCTCATTTATCCAGTAGGTTATTGCAGTACTAGGATATATGCTAATTTAAGAGATGTAAGAACAAAAAGTTTATATACATGTAAAATACTAGATGGTGGACCAAAGCCAAGGTATACAATTGTGATAAGAATTAAGGAAATATATTTTATGTAGATAAATATAGAAAATATTGAATTACTTGCAGATTTGAAATTGTATCTGATAATGATCTTGACCAACCATTGGTTGGATCTACACCTGATGAATGTCATTCCAAATTATTAATAGCACTTTCTCCTGCACTTTGTTCAATAACACCAAAAGGTGCTGATTTCTTTGGAATCTCACATCCTACTATACAAAATCTTATACAAAGTACACCTGGAACACGTAAATTGGCTATATACAAGCAACAACGTTTTGAAGTATGCAACTCAACATTTCATATACAATTAAAATATTAAATTTTTTAAAATCTAAATTTATCGTTTTATTTATTGTTTAGGTAAGTAAAAATCAACCAATAGAAAGAGGAACCAGTCCAGTAATGGAAGAAGAAACAGATCCAGGACTTGGATTTGCTGCTCTACATAGACATTATGCTTTAACAAATTCATATAGAATTAAAGAAGAACCGTCTGATAATGACCTTTTAACTCTTCAAGAACTTCTCGCGTGATTTTTATACTGTTTAAAAATCCTTATATATTTAGCACAAGATAACCGTTTATATATTGCGTTATTGCGTGAATTTCATTGTTGTCAGATATTAATTCTTAAATTACGTGTATAATAATTGTTCATACAAAATAATAGAAACCCCTTAAATGGGTATAATTCGTTTAAGTATTATTCTGTAATATTTATTAAACTACAATGTATATAGTAATCAATTTTTCTTGAACATAACATTTATGTTTTATTGAAATAATGTATAAATGAATTTCCAATTATAAATAACAAAAATTATTCAGAGAACGTAAACTTACAAGTAGTTAGCTGACATCTTGCAATTTTAATTACACTATATTATTACAAAACTACATATCTTAAATAAATTTTACCGAAATATTAATCTGAACATATAATTTATATGTATTTTATAGAACAACTCCACTATTTTATAAATATAATTAACTAAATCGTCTTCCGGAATTATTATCACAAATTACAACTTAAAAGCCTTAATGTTGACTAGTAAAATAAAACTTGAGTCTTCGTAGTAATGGTTAATGACAATTTCTTTTTACAACAAATTTCAAATACAATTAAGTTTCGTTTAAAAAAGCATACAATGAAATGATATGTTCATTCACAAATTTTTTTTTATTTTTATGCACTACCGTTTATGTACCGTTTATATAATATTTGTAATAAAGCAATATAAACCTTTTTTTCATATTTATTTGTCTTTTATGTTTACATTCACCTTATTAGATGCAATATAGAAATAAATTACTGAAATACTAATAGCTTTATCATTGCCAGTAAACTTATTACATTATACATATAAAGGAACATATTTACTTAGATAAAATCGACTAAAATTTTGATTGCATAGAAAACCATTTTATATACAAATATATATTACATTAATCATAATAACACCAAACATATGGTGGAACAAAAAAATTATTTTCAATTGTGTAAATATTTAGGCAATAAGATATTCTTAAATGTTATCAAGTTTACAAATTTTCTTGCATTAATGTGTTTTAGATAATATTTTACTTACAACCAGTATAATGCATTTACAAAATTCCCTTACTATAACTTGTGTCTGTGTATCTACATTCATAATTTATAAATGTATCTCTATTTACAAATAACAATAGTACAATTAGTAACAATTAGTACACAAGTTATGTGTCAAATTTCATATAAGACTGCATAAAAGACATTCATTTGAAATAAAAATCTCATTCTTAATTGCTTTGTTAATGCAAAAGTTAACATTAGAAAATCAAATACGCAAAAATTATTTAAAAATCTGAAAAAACAGTTCCTTGCTACATATTTTTTATTGAAAATAAATTTGCAAATTATGTTTTTCTCTGTCACCGTCTATTTGTTGGTCTAATTGTTTTATTGAAAAGTGTATTTGCAATAGCTATTACCGGTGAAAACAATTTTAATGGACTGTCACTGAAACAATAAATAAAACATTATGCAAGTGAACTAGTTTCTATATCAATATATACCTTGTAAATAATACTAAAATATGTACCATACTCCAGTTACAGGTTCTGCTTCATTTCCACTTATAATAAATAATGGGAATAATATAGAAAAGACACAGCCACTAAAAGAATAATAGCTTGGTTCTTAAAAATGCTTATGTAAAAAGAACGCGAAATGCTTAAAATAATTACCTTATTACATAAGAACTAGGGAGTTGGGTAAGTACTGCTAGTGGCAGACCAAAACCCACAAAATATGGCCAATTACTTTCAATAAAACTTAACCGTCTATGTAACTCCCAACCCATATTGAACCATTTATATTCAAAAGCATAGAGAGCATATAAAAGGCACATATGTATAAGAGCAAGGATGTCACCTACAAGAGGTAATGGAATCCTGGATACCAACATTCCTTGGCCCAAAAATAATGCTTGAACCAATATGCTGAAAAGTGTGTCTGCAATGAGCTTACTCACACTAGATAAAAGTAATGGCCTTCCTTGTCTATACCTATAAGCACTGTCTGCTATGTCCTACATATTTTACAAATACACAGCATATCGATTAACCCCTTCAACAGTTACTGGACAAAACTTCTCATTCTGAGATCAAATAACATACCTGAAACCATAAACTGTTGACTATCCTACTGAGCACAAATAGTGGTAGTACCCATACAGTGCCAAAAGTCAATGACAGAAATGGTTTTGTCCAAGACCACACAGTCATACCCATACCAGAAGAATGACCAAATATAATAGTCAATAAGTACTTGAGAAATGGAAGTAAGCCACATTCAAAAATCAATATGCTGGCCCAAAAAACACCACCATTTAATCCACAACATTGAATTGTCCTTTTTAACACCTTTGACTCTCTGGAAATATAACCACAACACTCATGTAATCTACACAATATTTAAATTTCAATATCTGATATATGTATACCTTAAGTGATGTTTTGAGGGCTGATGTGCAATTACTGTGTCTTTTCCATGAGTTTCAGTTTTAGAAGAGGATTGTTTTAATAATTTTTCATTCATACGTTTATCCATATAAAACAAAACAATAGCTCCTTTTAAACTATCTACAAATCCTCGATATATGGCACGTACTATTCCCTGAAAATATAATACAATAAGTGCCAATATATTGTTAAATAAAAACTTCATTCTTTTAAGTTTTAGATTCTTAAATATCCTCTTCTACAAGCATATAAAATAGCATATATACTATAGATTCTTTATACATAGATATTATTAAAATTTATAAAAGAAAATTCGCACATATAACGACTGTAGCTGAAAATTTACGCGTAAATGTAATAATAAGAAAAAAAAAGGTAAAATACGATAAGTTAATGTAGTCATGTAAGGTTAGGAACAATCCATTTTATCAGACAACATAAAATTCATTACTCACTGTCACGTTATTCATATTTCACAGTGATATCCACTATATAATGTAATTAATCTATAATCCGAATATGTTGAACAATCTGCCAAGAAAACATTTTCGAAGTAACATAGCTGTCAATTTCAGGAGCAATACAAAAGCACACTAAAAAAACGAATATGAAAAAAATGTTTCTGACATCAAAGTAGATAAAATTTTCGACACTTTAAACACGTACATATTGTTACTCAGATTAGTAATAATATTTAGCTTTTGAAAATTTTTCTTCCAAAATGTACGAACATACGCTATCGCTAAATTAACGAATTTATTATTACAATGTTTCGTAAGTTAACTTAAAAAAACATTTTTACAAAAATATATATATCAGCTGATGGTTCCCATTACAGGCAAAGGTCAACATTATGTTAATAAGTATAAAGTTCATTAGCAAATAAAATTTTGTCTTTATTCAATGAGTCTTTCATTGGTAGTTAAAGTATATAAAAATATAAAGCATTTAATGGATCAGTATTCATTTATGTATACGCACGAATATTAATACATAATTATTTAGCACTTCTAAATTTCTCTCAAGCAGTATATTTTAAAATATATGTACAAATATTTATTGAAGTCCTAATCCGCAAAGTAGTGATAATAATAGTACCAAAGAATAAGTGGAACCAAGTCCTGAAGTACTTGAAATTTACGTAATTTCCCAATAGATATTATTCTCGTAAGAAAAAAAATTCATGCGCAATAATTTTTATTTATAGAAATGTAAAAATTTATAATGTGAAACTTATAGTGTAAGTCGTAAATAAATATCGAAATATGTTGTGAAAATTTCTCTGGTGAAAGTATAACTTTACATATGCAAATATTTATATATTAATTAACAATGAACAAAGGTGAACAATAAATTAATTGGAAAAATTCCTCATGTTTCTTCATTCATTATAATACTTTCGGGATATAAATTACAAAATAATAAAATTTGCATAATTTATTGCACGTATACATTACATTACTATTATGTATACATATAAAAATAGTTTTATTATTGAACAATCTTTCAATATTAAATAGTTTCTTTAGTTATTACTTAACTGTATTGTAAAATAATAAAGATACATGTTATATACATAACATGAAATTACTAATAAATAAAAAGGATAAATAAAAATATGACAATCGTTATGTTCAATGTTAAATAATATGAAAAGATAAATAAATAGGATTTTGATTGAATGATCAGCGCTACTGCTCATAATTGATATCAATTAATGACTGAAATTAATTGATATTAATTATTGATGTCTATTAGAATAGTTCGGAAAGCACGAAACGCATAACGAAATATGAGAACTTGTTTAAAAAGTGGAGCTTGTAAACCGCGCAATAATTTTGGAGAGAGCTGTGTAACACGAAGTATGACTTAACCTATAACTGTACTTTAAGTTGGTGTTTTATTACAAGTTTTAATTTATTATCAAATATTATGACATATTCTTCAGTAACATAATATTAATCACAGTATCGAATGAATAATAATCTAGGTTATATTATATATTTATATTTAAATCAATTGTTATTGTAAAAAATAGAAATAAATGCCGGTTCAATTTCTACTTATTTGTCAAATATTTATTATAAGTATTTATACATGAACATTAACTTTTTTCATTATTTTAACCAAGCAAATTCTACAGTAAGATTACATGATGGCAGAGATCATATTTGGATGCCTTTACATTTGGTAAATTTTTATTATTTTATGAAATAATAAAATTTTTTAATTTTAATTAACATATTTATAATTTAAAGGATCCAATTTTAACAAATGTAACTTCACTCAACAGAAGATTACCACAAAAATTTTATTATCCTTCAAAAGGTGTTCTATATTTTACTAAAAAGGAAGTTTTGTATAAAATTATTAATTTAATTTTTAAGTTCTTACACAAATATTTCCTATTTATTTATCTTTTTAGGACCTATTGAAAATTCACAGGAAAAAAAACAATTAGTAAGTCTGACAGTAGAAAATATTTACTATATGTATGAAATATTTACATTTATATAATTCAGTGAGTAAATCTGACAGTAATAATTATTTTTAACAATCTTTTAAAATTAATAGGATGGCCTATATCAACCAGTAAAAGTTGACATTAGAAATATAAAAAGAATAAAATGTGTTCCAATAAAATATCAAAAACTTCCAAAAAATAACATAAAATTGAGGTGCCAAACTATAAGTAAGCTTTGAAATCATTATTTTGTGTTTAATAACTTTATTATTATTGATTATCATTTAGAACTTTTTTTTAATATATTTTTTAAAGGAATATGAAATTTATATCAATTCTTTTTGCTACAGAAAGTAACACTGATTCATCAAATACAATAAATAAGAAAAAAACTACTAACATCAAAGTAAGCATTTTTATCACACTTGAAAATAGTATAGTTGTAATGTAACAGAATAAAGACTGAAAAATTGTTGTTTCTTGTATGTAATTAATATCACATTGCACAGTAGAAAATACTTGATGATTCACAGAAGAAAAGATTTCAATCAAAATTCATAAATGTGTTAGTAAAAAAACAAGGTACATTGGATCAAACAAAAATTGAAAACATAAGTAAAGTCAGCATTCTTCTCCTGTATCTACACTTTTTGCTTTGTTATTATCTTTCTTTTTCAAAAACGAACCAATTTGATGAACTTTTTGAAATGTGTTCAATAAAAGACAATACAAACTGAAGATGTATATCTATATTTTCAAAGTATTATATGTAATACTTAGAAATAAAGAAACTGATATTTTGCAAATAACATTACTGTAACTTAATTGTTTAAATAAAAGTACATTTGCATGTACTGAGTGTAGCCATAATGATGATACAACCGGATAAGGGCGATTCGCATGCGCGGCATCTGTTCGCCTGTTCATAGTGTCTGCGCGGCGCCAAACGACGTGCGTCGTGATAAACTTAATTTTTTTTTTCTATGTTCCCGAAATCTTTCCATCACGTTGAAAAGCTTATTTTACAGGTTAAAGTTCCAAGAATCCAATGGTATTTGTTTTATGGGTGGGAACAGTGTCAAATCAGTAATTAAAAATTTAACAGTAATTATTGTTGTTTACTAATGATAAATAAATTTTATATATGTAGTTTTATCACATAAATGAATTTTTACCTGTGAAAATGTTAGTCGTATGAATAATATTTTTTCCATTTCACTTAGGAGGATTTTGGCTTTGGATGTAATTCTTTTTAATACAAAGAGTTATTTGTACCATATGTAAGTTATAAATAAATTTTTATTTTGAACTTTTCATGAATAAAATGATATTTTTAAAAATGTACAAAAAATGTTAGTACGCTTATCGAAGTTTACTGTACAACATATCAGTTTCTGAGACGCTATTCATTTTGAATTTAACGTAAAATGTGTTAGCGTAATTTATAGCATGATTTCTACGCCGAAAGTCACAAGAAAGGATAGTTTCCATTAATGAATCACTAGTTAAAGCGCGTAAGTTACTAATTTCAAATCGAAATTTTGACAAGTTCAACTTTGGGTTCAGAAGTGTGCAAACTGTTCTAACTTTTATTGTATTTTAACTTATACTGTGTTAAATTACAGTGTGAATTATAGTTATAAGTGTTGTTAATAATAGAGTGTGTGATAAAATAAAATTCTTTAAGCAAAATTCTTCAATTTACGCTCTATTGCTAATACTCCGTTTGAAACATAAAGGTTTAATAAAAACCTTATTTTATTTTAAATTATGACTTAATATTACGTCATTACACAGGGTAAGTTACCTAAAACTAGAACTTGAAATATTTTTGAAATTGTCGATTACACAGAAAAGTGTTTCAGACAAAAGATGAATGGTGTCAAAGGGAGCATAATTTAACCTGATTAGTATTTTCTTAGATGGACGCGTAGAAGACATAAAGGTCAAATTTTTTTTTTTTCAATGGAATCGTATATTTTTTAATGCATCTATCGATACAACTCGTTAAATTATGCCCCCGGTAATACCATTCCACTTTTCTCTGAAATATTTTTCGATGTAATCGACAGTTTCAAAGATATTTCAGGTTCTAATCAGGTGACTCACCCTGTATATATATATTATTTACAACATATTATATATGTTTAATTATGGGATTTTTGGAGTCTCTTCCGTTCAACTAGTTGTCTTATGTTTGGTACAAACGATTGACACATACCTAATATAAGCGAACATTTTGTGTTATAATCACTTAAACAATTTCTATTCACTGATTTTGTTCTCTTTAATACAGAAAATAATTGTTCACATAGATACATTGAGCCAAACATAGCTATTATTCTTGCTGCACTTTTGTGTAAGTGGGGAAAGTTTTCTTGAGGTAAAAGTTTATAAAATTCTAATATATTATTAACTTGTAGGTATTTTGCTTTTAGTACTCTATTACATCTCAAATCAATTAATTCTAATTGTAAGTGAGAAGAAACTGTTGCAATATCGATTGAAAATGGCCTTGCAATTACATCAAAATCAGTTTGTAATTGAATTAAATCTGCAAAGCGTACCGAAAATTCTTCGTAAAGAATTTGTAACATATTACTATAACATTCAAAATTGCTTTCGCTAGATACTGACTTTAATTTCGGAAAGTGGCAAATATTTCCGGATTCTAACTGTCGTATCCACAACTCTATTTTCATTTTAAAAGCACATATGGTATCGAATAAATCTATTATCGTGTTGTCCTTTCTTTGTAAAGCAGTATTAAGAATATTTAAATGATCAATAACATCGGATAAGAAAGCTAAGTCCCTTGTCCAAAGGCTATCTTCCAGTTCTGGTACTGGATGACCTACTGTATCCATAAATAGCCGAATTTCGTTCCGAAGATTAAAAAATCTGTCTAACGCTTTTCCGTGGCTAAGCCAACGCACTTCTGTATGATAAGGCATTTCATCATATTCAGCATCTAATTCTTGTAAAAATATTTTAAATTGTTTTTGTTTTAATCCATGATTACGGATGAAATTTATTGTACGTACTATAACTAACATAACTCTTTCTAATTGAACACATTTTGCACATAAATTTTCTCTGTGTAACATACAATGCACTGTAATAATAGTCTGTGGAATTGTTAGTTCCTGCAACCTTTTTTGGAGACAGCCTACAAAACCAACATTTTGGTCCACCATTGATGGTGCTCCATCAGTAGCAACTGATACAAGATTATGCCAGTGTAGTTTGCTATGTTTGATTGCTTCTTCTACACATGAAAGAATATCTTCTCCTGTTGTGGCCTCTTTCGTGGTACAAAAATCTAACAGTTCCTCAGTAACATTCATTCCTGAGTCTACACCACGAATAAAAATGGCTAATTGTGGGGAACCTGTTACATCTATACTCTGATCAATGGCCAATGAATAGGCTATAAAATTTTGTGCTGTCATATATAACTGCTCCATAATATTATCAGCCATTTCTTGAATTCTTCTTGTTACTGTTGATCTAGATAAACTAATATATTCAAATTTCTGTACATTTTCAGAACAAAATTGTTCTGCACTTGCCATTATATGGGTTTTAATAAATTGTCCATCAGAGAAAGGTTGAGATGTTCTACCTATTTCATGAGCTATTCTATAGCTAGCCCTCAATATAGCCTCATTATTTATAGATTGTACTTCCTGTAAATAATTATACTTCTTATTTCATACTACTTAAACATAATTTATTCACCACTTACTAAAATGACTCACTGCATAAGGTAAATCTCTTTCTGTCTTCAGAAGTTTCATTTTCAATCTTTCTACTTCTGCTCTTCTTTGTGTACTACTGTAGTTCAGGTGTGCTGCTTCATGGTATGTTTTATAGTGCCTTTGAAGATTATATCTCTTCAGTTGATTTAATTTTTTACAACATACCAAACATTTTACTGCACCATCATGTTCTGCGAAAAAAAATTCCTCTTCCCATGATGGTTTAAAATAAACCATAGAATTTGTAGCCTGCCGTTTGGATGTTGATGTTTCCATGGCTACACTTAAAACATAAAAAAATTACGAAAAAAACATATGTTCACTTAGTTTCATCGATTCGTTCCGCACTAAACAAACCCGTGGCGGCGGCTGTTCTATGTGTAATGGCGTGCGATGCGCTAACGTCATGCGCGGAAATCATTCTAATACCAGCCGTCCAACAGTTCGCATCGAGACAGCTGCGCCACAGTTATTTGGTGTCGGTAAATTGGTAATTGATATATCGACATTTTAATTCATATTATTGAAATCTTATTCTATGCTGAATCGGTAACGTTGGAAGCGATACGCAAATGGTAAGGGCATTCACAGCCCTCCTGACGTGGGACAACAAATACATTAGTCGCATAATAGGATCACTTAAAAATTTGAAATAATTTTATGAGATTATCCGAGCCTACATGCGATTTTCCGAATTCCAACCTATTCTTCTCTGTACGCTAAAATTACATCTTATTCTTTATTTTTTTAACGACGTTTTTTTGAATTAAGCAAAAAACTTTATGGTCGGTAGCACTTTTGCAACGGAAAACTATGAAATATTAAGAAATACAAATGGTACTACAGTTTTGCACCGATTGTAAACTACCTTTTCGATTTCATCTCGATATATATGTAGGTAAATTTAGTGCTTATCATCTGAAGCCCAGTACTTGCAATGCTCTTTCAAATGACACTAGTAGTTTTATCGAATTACTCTTCCAAAGTTCAAAAATCTTGAAAATGCTTTGTAGTGTATATATATATGTATTTACATTGATTTAAAGCAAAACTTTATCAAATATAAATGTGCTTACGTTGATGTGTTCACAATTGTAGAAATTGTTGTTGAATTCATTTAATAAAATTTATAGAAAGTTAAGTTAATTTGTCAACATATATATTAATCGAAATCGTTTTTTTTTCTCGAAATCATTCGTCCCATTGATATGGTATGCTTTTTAGGTTTTCAGGTCACCTACATCACCTCTTAAAATTATTTTCTAACGGTACCCACAATGTTCCCAATTCTTGAGATAAAAATATTTGAAAAATATTAGTTTCGAAATCTACAATAATAAATGTTATTTATTCATATTCGGACAAATATTTTGATAGTTACTCGAGTGTAGTATTTAAGCGCTACAGGTAGCCATTAATTAGTTAACATCTGTGCTACTAGATTTTTGACCCGTATTTATTACAGTTAAAATACATCACTAACATGAAAGAAAGGCTAGGCAAATTATTTAGAAACTATGCAGAGTGTATAGGCAGAGATGTTATTTCTTTTTTAAATTTCTCATCTAATTATATTTATTACACTAATAAGACGTTCAGAAAATGTTCCGATTTAAAATGCTTTCGAGACAAATTTTATTTATTATTATTATATCATCTAATTCGATATATTTGCTTCCCTTACATTTTTAAAACCTTCGTTACATATGTAACGAAATTTTTAGTTCCTGCCTCATTAATATAAAACAATCGAAATACTCAAGAAATTTAATCAAAATAAAGTAAAAAATATCCACGCATTTGTATTAACACTACGATCAAATTTTAATATGTTCATAATATTTTAAAAAAATGTTAAAATTAGTTTTACTTTTGTATGTGTAGAAATGAGAAAAGCAAAAGAAATTAAAAGTACTATTGTTTATGTATGTTCCTTCGCTTCTCAATGATTCGGTTTTGTCATCTACGGTGATCATTTTACGTTTCATCAAAATCAACTAATATACTTTCTAATCTTTGCATAATATAAATAATAAGGATTTTATTTTTGAAATATTAATTTCTAAATAAAGAAGAATGTACAAAATTATCTTAGTATTTCTCGAAAATGATTGTACAATCGTAAAAGTATTGACACGGTGTCCTCATTATACGTATGTACATACATATATATAAGGGTACTTGTCAGAAAAGCATTGCAGTTCTTCGGAGGTGCTCTTTAGGTAAGTATCGTACACGGGACACAACGAAGTAAAGTGATTTCTTTTTTTTTTTATATTAATGCTTTTATGGAAGAAAATATTTTTGGCATAAATTATTTGGTTTAATTAAGTTATTAAAAATGTGTTAACGTTACAATTGTGATTTTAAAGAAGACTATGTTTTTGTTACTACATTTATGTACCTAATAAAAATATAAGAAAATTCATTTGCAGAGTAATGCGTTAATAGTAACGTGATTTTGAAAAGAATTTGCCGCGTCGGGAAACCTTATAAGCTTCCATTATTGTATAGAGTTTTCTTTAAAAACATTTCTATAAATGTTAACATATTTCGAACTTTTCTTAGGTTCATAAAGATCCTTAAAAATATTTTGTATCCAAATTGTAATACAATTATCATATTTGTTCCTCCGAACTCAATAATTTGGAACTAGTTATTTGGTAAATATAAAAGTAAAAATATTTTAAATGTTCGCGCTAGATAAAATTCATAAATAATTGTATGATCGTATATTTATTTAAATGCAGCTTAGAAAAATGATACTATTTATTATCCTTGGAGCATTCATTGTCTCGACAACGGCTCAATTCCAACCTCCTGGAAGAATTTTAGAGCCACCAATACCTGCCCTTTGTGCACAAAGTAAGTAGGAAAATTAAATTTTATGTAAATTAATTAATGGTAAAAATTATTAATATTATTGTTTAATGTTTGTTTTATGTCGGATAAACAATTGTTTGTACTCAAATAATTGCAAAGTTCAACCTCTTTTTTTTAGTTTGTAGTTAAGTTATA